AGCCCAAAGAATCTCCCTCCAAATACCTCAGTGAGAGTTTCCCATTTCCTCATCATCTCCCCTGGTATTTGGAAAGGGTCAGAAACTTTATTTATTTATTTATTTATTTATTTATTTAATTTTTATTAAAAAAAAAATTTTTTTTCAACGTTTATTTATTTTTGGGACAGAGAGAGACAGAGCATGAACGGGGGAGGGGCAGAGAGAGAGGGAGACACAGAATCGGAAACAGGCTCCAGGCTCTGAGCCATCAGCCCAGAGCCCGACGTGGGGCTCGAACTCACGGACCGCGAGATCGTGACCTGGCTGAAGTCGGACGCTTAACCGACTGCGCCACCCAGGCGCCCCACATGTACCGTTTTTAATGGTCATATTTGAAGTGGTTTTGGTTTTTGAAATGGCCAGTGCAAATAGACTAATATTTAAATATGTCAGGCCAGATAGTAAATGTTTCCTTTTCCTGCTTTGTTCTCAAGTGAGTGCTTGTTAAAGTTACCCTCCAAAAAGGTTTAGAAGACAGAGCCAAAGCAGTGAGTTTCCAGTGGGTCACCTAAAGCTCAGAGCGAGGAAGGACTTTCTAGAGTAAGAACAGCCCCCTCTACTAGGGACAAAGAAGTTCCAAATACAGACAACCACTTGGTGGTACTGTGATGGGAGAAAGTTGTCTCTTCCCCAAAGCCATGAGTCCATGGGTCTCTAAAGTTTCTGACCCTTTTAAGGGCGCCTCAGCACCTCGGTGGCTCAGTTGGTTAAGCATCCGACTTCAGCTCAGGTCTGATCTCACGGTTTGTGGCTTCCAGCCCTGCGTCGGGCTCTGTGCCAACAGCTCAGAGCCTGGGGCCTGCTTTAGATTTTGTGTCTCCCTCTCTCTCTGCCCCTCCCCTCTCACGCTCTGTCTCTCTCCAGCTCTCAAAAATGAATAAATGTTAAAAAAAAAAAATTTTTTTTTTTTTAAATAAAGTTTCTGGGGGCACCTGGGTGGCTCAGTCGGTTGAGCGTCCGACTTCGGTTCAGGTCACGATCTCGCGGTCCGTGAGTTCGAGCCCCGTGTCGGGCTCTGGGCTGATGGCTCAGAGCCTGAAGCCTGCTTCCGATTCTGTGTCTCCCTCTCTCTCTGCCCCTCCCCCGTTCATGCTCTGTCTCTCTCTGTCTGAAAAATAAATAAAGGTTAAAAAAAAATTTTTTTTTTAA